GCTTTCAAATATTCGATATAAGCTGTGTCATTTCTATCTAAATATTTAATATATTTGGCTAAATCAGAAATTGATTTAAAATTTCTCACATCTATGTAAGAATTTTTGGGGTAGAAATGTTCATAATTACCGTCACCTCTCACTATAGGAACAATACTTCTGTTTTGCCACTCGAAAAATTTTTCAGTAACATAATCACGGCACAAAGAATTTTCAAAAGCCAAATAAAATTTATAAGATTTTTCAATTTCTAGAAGCAAATGTGCTTCTCTTCTCTTTTTCTTCTCGGGTCCACATCGCCCATAAACCATTACTGGTATATATTTTTCTAATGATTTGACATATTGTTCACGTAAACTTTGCGTTGGACAATGGCTTACTAATTGAGCTGCCAATTTTGTTTTCCTTGCCATAATTTCTTTGTAATTGTTTGACTGTCCACTGGTATTCTTCACAATACCGTAAGGTGCTGGGATATCCGAGTCAAGTCGATAATTCATAGTCCAATTTACCGTGTCTTTTAATATTGCTTTATTAAATTCTCCTGAATGAGACAAATATGGACATTCCCACACGGCAAATATCCAAATCTGTCCATTTTTGGCTTTTCGTGCCAACAATCTTTTGGAAGAGTATTTCAATGCAAATAAAATAACAGCATCACTTTCATTGACATATTTAAATGGTGTTTTATGATGAAATGTACATGCGGATACTTCACATTTATCAAACATATTTGATGTTACTTTTGCAGCTAACCACTGAGGAGTTTTTAACATAATTATTGTTTTATGTTTATTTTTTAAACTGCCTGTACTAGAATTGCTAACAAATACTTGCGTATAATCAGTCATTTGATAAACGTATTGGTGTAATTTGGTGATGTGTGGTTGTAAAATTTCTGTTCCTTTAAAATAAAATGCAATAACCAAACAAACACACAAAGTGATCACCATGAACAGTTTCTTGTATTTATCCATCTGAAAAAGAAAATTATTAATCATTATTCAATTTAGCACGGCGGAATTTCAAATTAAGTACAATCTTTGAAAATACATTGGGCTGAATTCATAAAACCTAGCACTTTCTTTTTTATAGGCCCACATCAAATGAACTGCGTATATTGCCGTCACCCATTTATCAGAATCAGAAAAATCGAAAAATATTTAGTATGAGTTATTGCCCTTATTCTTGAAAACGCGTTTAATTTTTAGCAAGGAAAACACTCTAGAAGACGCAATTCTTGATGAATTTTGATGAAACTTGGTGTGAGTATCAACCAAGGATAAACCCTATCGAAAATCAGATGAATGGAAAAATATTTAGTATGAGTTATTGCCCTTGTTCTACAAAACGCGTTAATGTTTTAGCCCGTAAATAATCTAGAACGCCCAATTCTTGTCAAATTTTGATTTAACTAATATTATTCAGTGTATGACACAAGGTTGAATATTTCATACTGGTAATTGTTACTTTACAGCCAAATATTTTTATTTAAAAGCAAAGCTGCCAGTGGGCGTATATTAACTTGCCTGGCGAGCTATTTTTCATAATAAAAATATCATTTGACAGAAGGGTCTTCTTTAATTGATAAATCAAGGACAATATAACCTATTGATTATTTCGTCGTTTTTTTAAACTTTGAATGAGGCTCCTTCTTCCTAATTCAATTCCCTCAAATTTCAGTGAAATATTTCAATAAATGTGCCTTCTACAATATACCAGCTAAAAATTGAACTTGTTTCAATGAACAGGGGCTAAATTCGTATTAAATATTTTCTTATTTCATTGATGATCGGTATGGTTCTTCCTTGTATGATAATGAACAATTGTGATACGTTTTGTTAACATCC